AGTTAGTTAGTTAGTTAGTTAGTTAGTTAGTTAGTTAGTTAGTTAGTAAAGCATCTGCAAGCCCTAATCAAACAGCATGAGTCACATTTCTTCTTATTGAGAGCAAGGCTTGGAAGCACATTGTTAAGGAGTCTTAACTCCTGATTAAAATGAATTATTTTACCTTCCCCTATGCTTATCTTTTATTTGATTTATCAGCAAGGATGAAATATGAAAGTGGTTTAATTATCTCTTAAACTGACTTTGGCAGTTACATTATGCTCATCTAATCTTAGCATTACAACAGTAACAGTTTTTTTTTTTTTTTTTTTTTAATGTTTATCTTTTGTGTTTATCGTATATTGTTTGTTCGTTTACACACATTATGAAATCCAGATGGAGTACCTGGGAAGGTGCTCAAGGCATGTGCTTGGCAGTTATCACAGGTCTTCACAGACATATTCAACATATCTCTGCAACAAGCTGTCATCCCACCCTGCTTGAAGTCTGCTATAACCATCCCGATCCCTAAAAAGTCACCCACGACCAGCCTCAATGACTTCCGCCCCATTGCACTCACTCCAGTCATCACCAAATGCCTAGAGAAACTGGTTTTGAGACACATAAAAGCCTGTCTCCCCCCCACCCTGGATCAGCACCAGTTTGCATACCGGACTAACAGATCCACCGAAGACACCATAGCCATCGCTCTCCACTCAGCGCTGGGTCACCTGGAGCAACGGGAGAGCTACATCAGTGACTTTAGCTCAGCTTTTAACACAATAATACCGGACATTCTGATCCCTAAGCTAACCGACCTGGGGGTCCCACCACCCACCTGCTCCTGGATAAAGAACTTTTTGGTCAACCGACCCCAGCAGGTGAAACTGGGTCCTCACCTCTCTTCTTCCCGCACTCTCAGCACTGGCTCTCCACAGGGCTGCGTGCTGAGCCCATTACTCTACTCCCTCTACACATCTGACTGCAGTCCCGCCCACCCAGAGAACATCATCATCAAGTTCGCTGATGACACAACGGCGGTGGGGCTGATTACAGGGGAAAACGAGGCGGCCTACAGAGATGAGGTCCTGAAACTTGGCGAGTGGTGTGCATCAAACAACCTGGCACTAAACATCAAGAAGACTAAGGAACTCATCCTGGACTTCAGACGGAAGAAAGCCGCCCCTGCCCCCCTGTACATCAACGGTGGATGTGTAGAACGAGTGGAGTCCTTCAAATTCCTTGGCATCCACATCTCTGCAGACCTCTCCTGGTCAGCCAACACCACAGCTCTGGTCATGAAGGCTTAGCAGCGGCTACACTTCCTGAGGGTGCTCAGGAAGGAACAACTAAAACCTCAGCTGCTGGTGACCTTCTACCGCTCCACCATCGAGAGCCTGCTGACCTATGCTGTGACAGTGTGGCACTCCAGCTGCACGGAGGCTGATAGGAAACGACTGCAGAGAGTGACAAACACTGCAGAAAAAATTATCGGCTGCCCTCTGCCCTCTTTGACTGCCATCTACAACTCCCGTTGTCTCAGCAGGGCCAGAAACATCCTGAGGGACACCACCCACCCCGGCTTCCATTTCTTCAACCTGTTGCCCTCAGGCAGGCGCTTCAGGTCAATACGGACCAAAACAAACAGACTCAGGGATAGCTTCTTCCCCAAAGCTGTCACCTTACTAAATCAACATCTAGTACTCCAGTTGTACTAATGTATTGTATATGTATGTATGTGTTATTTATGTGTCCACTTTACGGAGCTGCTCTCCAAATCTCATTGTACTGTGTACAATGACAATAAAGGCTTTCAATTCAATTCAATTCAATTCATACACATTGCATGTTTTGGAATTCTTCAGCTGCTCGCATTGCCTCATTTACAAGTTTTAACGTGTTTACTCACTGTTGTTCAACATTTATTTCACTTTCATTTAAAAGAGGAAGTTTTCATAACACGTCACAATCAAAAATATTTGAGCAGTTTCACTTCTCCTGTTTACAATACTTGAGCAACACCCAGGGCCATGCACACGTAAGCTTTATTCACAGGATAAAATCCTGCTGGCTAATGGATTGTTGCATGCATATGAGTACAAATCTAACAACCATCCCAGTGCATAGACCCCGGCTAGATGAACACAGTGTTCAGATCAATTGTAAGGAGTACACAAAAGTACACGAGTCAAGCATTCAAGTTGGCCCAAAAGAAACTTTACTACATTATTTCTAAAAAAGAGACCTCACCACTGACCGATATACAAAACAACAAAAGGTACACCTACTGTAGTAAATCTTCTGCAATAACAACTACAATATGTATATTTATTTTACTGATAAGAATTTAAAAGATGACGCAACTATCATGACATCTTAATTGTTTGTGTGGGTGTCCAACAACCAGCCAGACTGAAAAAACTGAAAACTGAAATCTGTTTCATGTATGTTGCATCATTTCCTCAAATGACTTCAGTGAGACAGTTGTTGATATGCACCCTTTATTGAGCATATCGTCATGAACCTGATTAGTAAACAGCAGTAGGCTAAATGAGCGTGTGAACTGTGGTTGAAATGAAGGCTTCACATGTAAAGTACGCAAAACAGCAGAAATATATAATTTTAGATGACAAAAAGTGTCATTTCCAACCAATTAAATGACCTCATATTCGACATATATTCATAATCTGCATCATGTATAATATACACACATATTAGACACAAGACCGTGATCATTTAGTGCTCATTTTTTCCCCTCTAAGGCCAACCGTGAGTATAAATTCACCTATATGCAGGAACTATCAAAACTTGTGCCCTTTTGAAAACCACGGTAAAGGCGGCTCGCGGGTGACGTCATCTGACTAAACGTATAAAGAGCGCATGAGCCGGGGTTTCCTCAAAGCTTTAGCAGATATCAGAAAGTGACTGTGACCCTCCGCGGGCATAACACCACAAACACTCGAATGATGGACGACGCCGGCGACCCCACAGATAAAACTTTCGGCAGCGACAACGTCGCGACAATGAAAGAAAATTCGCACGGCACTCAGGTAGGTTTAAAAAAAAAAAAGAAGATTAATCTCACCGTGGCACGCGCGCGCTTGTGAGGATGAACTTGCGCTGCTCCTAGCGCGCGGTCTGTTATCCGACATATAAACGTTGCTCGTTGTGTTTTGAACTTTTGTACGACAGAAAGTCGCCGTCAAAAAGTATAAAGCCGTACATCTAGCCTTCTCAAGGGGAACCCCCCCACCCACCAAAAACGTTTCCTCCAACGCTGAGCACTAAGCGACGATTTTGGTTTTTGATATACCGAAGAAACGCCTCGAGGCACAACCGTGCCCGGTTCTTCTTAACTATGATATCATCTTGCCTCAGGTGATGACGCTCAAAGCCAATGTGTCAAGAATCATCCAGGTCATGCAGGCTGTGGCCCAGAAAAGCTTCGTTAAAACTTGCCAGCTCCTCTGCCTCCCTTTAGGCTCACAACCCTCACGTTTCTCAGGTAAAAGCCCCTTGTAATGACTCATGACATATAATAACCAGCGTTTGCTCCACTTATTTGAAGGATAAAGACAACAAATTTTTTTTTTTTTTGGTGCTTTCCTTCTTTCATTAGCAATGATGGGGGAAAAAATCACTTTACAATAAACTAAATTATTTTTATTTTCTCCTTAAAGCTCTGATTCCTCGATCCAGGGAGGACAAAAATACAGAAGGTATGTTTAACATTTTTTCATACATTTTAGTATAAATAGTTATAGTCAGATGGGGGGATTTCCCTTAGATCTTAAGCCCAAACTGTGTTTGTTGTTAGCAAAGGTGGTTAACTGTAGGTGACGGTGTATAAGGCGGCCTTAGTCATCTCAAATATTTGCCATTGAACTTAAAAAAACTCTACATATTCAGGAACTGAAATAATATTCGACCTGTGATTGCATTTCTGCTATGATGCCACTCTGGAACAACAACTTCCCCTCTTTAGAATCTCTTCTCTCCCCCTCCCAAAAGCCCTCCACGCAGATTTCCCTCAAGCGGAAACATTGAAGAATACACCATCGACCATTATGATAATCAACATAAGCAACTCCACCCTGGTCGACTGCGTCATCGGGGACTCGAACTCGACGGTGGTGACCGAGCGTCGGCCCCTGCTGCAGGAGTTTGACCCCCAGAGTCACGGTGGGTGACCGCGTCACGACCCGGTGTTTCCGAGCCTAGCGCATCCCAGCCGTCCCGACTCACAAAGGGTGTGTGTGTGTGTTTGGTGCAGCTCAGGTGAGGTGCTGCTGCAGACAGGACCAGCACTTTGACACGCCAGTCGCCCATCCCCCGCCTACCTCGGCCTACGCTCAGCTTCCTTCAGAGGAGCATCTGAACATCTGCATCCAGAGCTCCAACCTCAGCTACGCTATCATCGGAGACAACAACCACCTGCACGCGGAGCATGGCCGGCCATTCGACTGAGAGCAAAGAGGTTTACAAGCTGAACGCTCTGATAGCGCCGTCCACTTTGGCAGCATTACAGCTGACACTCCGCTTCTCAATGACTTTTTCAAGTCTAAAGTTGGAGTTTATTTTTGATCTTTGACCACTGATTCACAATATTTTTAACTGATTATTTTTTTCAATGTCTTAAGAGCAGCGACTTTGACATATAGAATGTCCAAATGAAATGCTAAAACAGTTTTATTTATATGAAATAGTTGAGCGAGCAAGCAGACAAACAGCAAGTAAATCATGCACTGCTGATTCATTTTATATCAAGTTTATTTACACATAATTTCAGTTCCTGGTGAGTCAAAGTTATGACTGACACCAATGTTTTTAGCTGTGATTACACCACTTGAAACCACTCCAAGAACTGTGAGCATCATTTCCGTATGGCAAAAAATTTCCAGTTTGCTTAAACAAGCGTTTGCTCCCTAAAAAGATAATAGAAAAAAACAAAAAACAAAATCAATTTTCCCTAAAACGAAGAGTTTCCTGTTTAGCAACGCTGGAAGTTCTGCCTCTGGGTCAGATGTGATGGTTCACAGCACGGAAAGTTTTCAGGACAGAGATTGTATCGAGTCATCTCCCTGTGATGGATAGGTGGAAGACTTATCAGCTTATATCCATTATGTGAATGGACACAGACATTGTGTGGCTGTGACTGACGTCTGTGTAATGATAACAGCTGGTGATACAGTGTATGGCCTGTGGTCAATACGAGTGGATTGTTTTGTATTTAACTTCTATTTATTCAATCATATCCTGTTTTGATGTTAAATATTCAGGGAATTTTATGTACACGCTGTGATGGACTGGCGACCTGTCCAGGGTGTCGACCAGCTGGGTTAGGCTCCAGCCACCCAATGAATAAGAAGCATAGATAAAAGGTTGGATGTATATGTACACACACACACTTGTGCATACACGTATGTGTATATATATTTATTTATTTATTTATCCATACATGTGTGTGTATCTTATCATTGTTTGAAATATTGCATTTGATCGGAATGTTCATTTGGTGCTTGTTTGAAATAACAGAAAAACTGTAATTCTTTTTTTTAATATAAACTTTTAATAAAGAAATGCCAAGACTGTGCTTTTTTTCCATTTGGTGGGCTGCACACGAACAAGCAGACGTCATCCCTTCTTACTTCCTTTCTTCTTTTTCTTGCTTTTCTTGTCCTCCTCTACTTTTCTGAAACGCCCGAGGCCTCGGCGGACCATGCAGCCTCTCCACCAGGCCTGCAGCTGGACAGATGGCCGGGGGGGGACGCGGGGGTCAGTGCACGCCGAAAGCATTAAACGACACTCCGTGGCTCGTGAGCCCGAGCTCGGATTGGATGTTGTTACCTTGGTGGCGAATCCGGCCACTTCCCGCTGTCGCCGCAGTTTCTCCTGCTCCTCCTTATCCTCCATGACCACCCGCTCCATCTCCCTGAACTGAAACCAGCGATAAATCAGCGTCGGCCGGGCAGTGAGACGGGTGGCCGCAGAGGCCCGGGGGCCGCTCACCTTCCTCTTCATCTCCATCAACCTGTCCAAGTTCAGCGTCCTTTTACAGCAAACGCTGTTGAGCCTCTCCTCCTTCTCCCGCTGCGTCGCCTTTGTGCTCTGCTGCCAGCGCAGCAGAACCTCGCACAGCTCCTGAACAGCAACAACACAAAAGAAAACGAAAGAAGCAACACAGACTTACAGTCAACGTGCTCAGAAACCTTGTCAAGTTTTGTCATTTACTTAAATCAGCTATAGAACTATTTCAGGCATTAAAACATTAAAAAAGCGTTCAGCAAGAGCCCCACTGTTACCCATTTACAGCATATAAAGTTTGTTACCCTGTAATAAATACAGAACACCTTATGGCTTTATATTAAAAAGATGTTTAGAAGATAAGGAAGTTGGATCGAAATTGATTTGGTTATAAATTAATTGCATGAGAATGTCCGCAAACAATACCAATTATTTTATTTTGTCCAATGTTAAATGAACAAATGATAACTACACTAACTTACATCTGTATTTCATTCATTTTAATTCAATTCTCCCTAACAGCATCTAACGTCCGTGGCAAACCTTGTGCTGTTTTTGCAGGAATCTTTCGGACTCCTCGTGAACTCTTCTCTCCTCTTTCAGTTTTTTCCGCAGTAGCTGGGGAAGAAGGCGACACCGGAGCGTGACTGAACGGCGTCTACCTGAGCGGCATTTCACACGGACCGGAGTCGGGCACAGCTCGACCCACCTCCAGCTGCTCTTCCAGCAGTTTCTCAGCCTCGGGGGTTTCTTTCCGCGTGGGCCTCTCGACAACGATGGGCTTAACAGTCACTCTTCTGCTGGCGGGCATTTCCCTCAGATTAGAGCGACGTCTTAGCAACTTCTGATGTGGTGAGAGAGCAGTGGAAAAGTTCAAGGAACCACAATTAAGGCTGACTTCTACCGACTGCAGTTATTGGATAAAACACAGCAACGCGTAATATCTCACTTCCAACTTCACAGCATTGTCTTCTATCTGTTGTTGGAGTTCCAGTACAGCCTCCCTCGTCCGTCCCAGCTCTACGACAGCCTGTCTGGGTGGATAGAAACACAACACGCCAGGTCACTGCAATCCCCTTTTCTGATTCAGGTGAAGATAGTCAATATTATACGCAAAAAAACGAAAACGCAGAGACAAACCTTTCATTCTCGAGAGCTTCCTTTTTCTGCAGCACTTTCTCCACAACCTGTAGCAGAGAGCTGAAACTCCGTTTCTCCTCCAGCTCCAAACGCAGCTCGGCCATCTGCTGCGTGACGATCTGACTGCAAAGGCAGAAATGGTATTTTAAGAGTTGGCGCTAAAGCAGTTCTACAATTTCATTTCTTTGAGACCTAAATTTAGATGGTTTCTTCAATCTAAACTTTGTTGTTTGAGTACAGACATCTAAGCAAAGCTTTGATATCATCAGTTTATAACAAAGTGAGCAGACCACACGTCTCTGAGCCAGAATAACATATCTTCTCTCTACACTGGATGACATGGAAAATAATCTCTTCTAGATCTAGCAACTTTGTATTGACTTTCCTCGCTGTGAGTGTGTTTACTCTGTTTCCCGCCCTTTCAGAACTTAGCTGGTTGGGGCAGATGTCCATCCTCCCTGAGTCCGGCTCTGCCAGAGGTTTCTCATTTAAAAAAGTGATTTTTTTTTTTTTTGGCAACATATGGCCTGTCCATGCTGAAGATGGAGGACTGTAACAGAACATTCAGTGCAAACCTTTGTTTTCCTTAACCAGGAAAATTGTTATACTGGTTGTGTATGAACTAGAATTTGACTGATTGGATTATTATTATTTACAGATGAAGTGCCTGGAGACATTCATCTATTTTTCTATCTCTGTATATAGATATAGATATGGATATAGATATAGATAGACCTGTCACGTCTGGGGAATGTCTGGTGTCTCGTCATGTCTTGATTACCTATTGTGTACACCTGGGGTTCCCCTCCCTCATGTGTTCAAATAGTCCTCGTTTCCCATGTCCTGTGCCAGTGCGTTTTCGTCTGTCTGTTTTCGTCACCCCATGTCAGGTTTGATTTTGTCACAGCCTTGTTTACTTTGCTGCCATAGTCTTGTTTTGTACCATAGCCACATTTTTGTCATAGCCATGTTTTACCACAGTTTTGTTAATCTTGCCATAGCCTTGTTTACTCTTTCTTTGATACTTTGATCATAGATTTTGCCACAGCCTTGTTTTGGAACCTTGTCCTGTCATCCACTCCTTTGAGTGCGTTTTTTTTGTTAAAATAAACCTTTTTCCATATCTCCGCGCCTGAGTCCTCCAAGATCCACCTTCCTGACATGACCAATTGTAATTAACAGTGCTTTATTTACTTACTTGCAAAGGCATTTATATTTTTGTTTATTTACTTACTTATTCTGTGTTCTCCAGTTACTCACCAATCTCTTGTCACCTTGACAAGCCTGGCTTTCTCCTACACACAGACCAACAAGAGAAAATGTAAATAAACACACTCGTACCGTTCAGGGACTAGTAACCTGTACGGGGAGTACCCTGTACTGGTCCCTATAGGCCCCCCGGACCCCCCTCCCCCCACCACACAACGGATGGATGTAACAGTCTTTGTTCGTAGAGGCCCAGATGAAGTCACCTGGGCAGGAGCTGTGCCCTGGTCCTTGTTGATTTGTGCTGTCATGGAGTGTCCTATTATTTCCAGCTGATGGGAAATGTCCTCCAGCACGGCGGCAACTCTAAGACTCTGAATCCTGGACAAAGACATCCTGGGAAAACACAGCACAGATGTTCACTCCGTGTTTTATGTGGACATGTAGTGAAGCATTGATTGCCCTGGTAAAAAAAAATAGATACAAATAAATAAAGTATATATATGTTAAATTACATTAGACTTTAACATACTGTATTTGAATTATTTATTAGGTCTCAGTTAAATTGTAGAAAAGTAGAACATTTAAGTATTTTATGGTATATAAATATAAATAATTATTAGTAATATATAAATACATGACTGTGTATGTTTGAATTAACATGACTGTTTAGTAGGAGAGTTGACTTTTTCTTGAAAATATTCAATATAGTCAATGGGTTTAAATACAAGTGTAAAACCTTCACTTTGAGTTACCATCAAATGCAACACAAACTTTATTAAAACCTAACAAAATAGCCGTTGAAACATTTTCTGTGGTGATTAGAATACTGTGCTGCTTGAAAGTTTATGCCTCCGGGTTGGCAGTTTTGTTTACATCTAAAATGTATCATAACCATGGAAACAACAAAGGGGGGCAGGGGGGGGTTAAATAACTGTTACACTTATTTTCTCCGTTTTAAGACCTTACAGACAGATCTCAACTTTCAAGAATTTGTCATCTATCTAGCCAAAAGCACATCTTTCTCTACAGTCAGTATCAATATACGTAATTCCCTAAAGAGGACTGATAAAGTGTTACTGAATCAATAGAATAAGTATGTATCTCAAGGTAACTTTGGGAAGGACACGATTTGGTTAGACATTGTTTGTTGACAATTAAAGTAGAGGAAATGCGTACTGTCATCTTTGCATGCACTCACTTGTTCATTTATGAGAATATTCCAGTCATAATACGAATGTTTCAAAGAAGTCTGGCGTAGCTCCTACTAAGTGCTCCAGGGCAAACAGTGGCTTTATGTCCTAAAAGGCACTTACTTCTTCCCCTTCGTAGAAATTACTCTCATTCCGAATAAAAAAATGCTTTAAAAATATAATTCTTTAAAAGAAACGAAGCCACTAACGCCACTGAATATGAGCGGAAGTGGTGTTTATATCTCACCATGGAAACGGGACTCTGTTTTTGTTTTCTTTTTAATTGTCACTTTTTACCATCAAAAAGCCTCCATTTTACATACTTCGAGGGTTTACGTTCGTGGAGGAGAACCCAGGGGTGGACATGGGAAACAAAAGACTTGGGAATAACTAAAATAATCACAAAACGAAACGGTCCTGTACGAAATTGTGCTCCCCTCAAATCAGCTGTTCCCCTGCTGTCGGGAGCGCGCACAACATCCGGAACGCGCTTTCTGATCAGTCGGTACAATTGACAACACGTAATCGTTAAGCGTGCCAATTATGATTATTATTATTATTATTATTATTATTATTATTATTATTATTATTAT